CGCTCTTCCTCTCTTTTGAGCCACAGTTCCTGCAGGTTATGGGGTTATTTCACAGACAATGATGAATTTACAAGTCAAGGCTTGAGCTGACCCACCAATAGCTGAAAAGAAGGGCCCCGGGCCTCTGCTCCTGCTTACAGACCTCCTCCACCAGCACCCTACACCAGCCCTGGCTCTCCCCGTGACCATGGGCAAGGAATTTAGGGCACAACACGCTCTGCAATGCAAGATGGGACAGACAGGTCCTGTCTAACTTTGCCTCTGGGACTGGAAATGAAGCAGCCACTTCAGAGTGCCAGAGCTACTGTGATTCAGAGGTTTCTAAGGGAGGCACAGGGCCAGACTGAAAGGATGGCTGTGCCACTTCCAGTGCCTGGGCTGGCATGAGTACTCTGTGCCACATGGGACTCCCCACTTGTGCTCAAAAACCTTGGCACTAACTGCCCTGGAGGGTGCAACTTCCGTCTCCAAATTCTCCAGGCTTCCTACCACCCCATCGATCTCATACAGCCTCCCTGCCTTGCAGAAACCAGCAGAGCATGAAGTCAGATGCTACAGGAGGAGATTTAGACAGGACAGGGATTGCATGTCCAGATGTTCAGTGAATCCAACCCAGAGTGAGATGAGCCTGCTACTGAAGCCAGCAGACAGCACATCTTGGCTTTTATTCCTCTGCTCAAAAGCCCTGTTTGTACAAGGGAAGAACAAGCTGGTTGGGCAGAGATCTAGATGATGTGAAACTTCACCACAAACTCACCCCTGAACCTTGTCCTGGAAGTTTCACAAAGCCAAGCCCGTCAGCACAGTGACTAGCTATACCCCCCAATCCTGTGACGACGTTACTTCTGCTATTCCACTGTCTCCCCTTTTTTTTGGCTACTCCCAAGAGAGCTGCTGAAGTGCCTCTAGCCCCAGGCTCTGAGGCTCGACGCAGAGCCCTGTTTGCCACCCAAAGGTGTCCTCTGCAGAGGTCTCGCAACTGCCGCCCACTTCTGCCGATCGACCTCCAAAGTTGTTGAGATTCTTTGCTTATAATATGCTCCAACAGACACGTTGTCCCTTGAGGACTGAGCTAAATTGAGTTGCAGGGCTGCAAATCACAAAGCAGCCTCATTTTAATCATGGCTACTCAAAGTGCTAAGGAATGCAGAAAGTAAATACGTATTTGTTTTTAGGCCGTATTTCTTTTTAGGCCGTTTGTCCCATTTGCAAGAGGAAAATTAACATACTCAATCCCTGAGGCTTCAGTCCTGGGAGGTACCTTGGGAAATGGACCTGCTCTAACCACCACACATGAAAGCCACCCTTTGTTAAATCCTCTGCACCGGGCTAGTCACAAAGCTTTGCTCCTGGATCTGTTCTAACAAGGCTTTAACACTTCACACTTCTTCTGCCACCCCATGCAGTCCCTGCTGGCTTACTGGTGAGTGATCTCCCCGAGCACTGACTGTAATCTGGCTGGCAGGGTCAAGTTCTGCCCTTGCCTTTGGACCCAGCTTGAGCAAAAAACCGTAGTGCCCTGTGCTGCAAGGAGTACCTTTGGCTGCAGGGATGTCGGACCAGGTGGCTGGATTTGCAAATCAGTCCTTGACTTCTACACTACTTCCAACACATTTGAATAAATACTCTGCACACACACAGATTTGATCAGCTTGCATCCCTAGTGCTGCAGTGTCCTTCTCTTTGGCATGCCTTATGCTCAGTGTGAAGTAGTCCAGCCCACCTCTAACGCAGTGGTAAAGCTCCACACAAAGCCCAGTGCTCTAGTTGCATCCCAGTCTTCCACGCTTCCCTCTCCTGGGCTTTCTTTCTCTTCTAGCTCCAGCTGTGGTTTGAGATCCTCCCTCTCACCAAAGCGTGATCCAGCCTCTGTCCATCTTTACTTTTGTCTCAATCCTGTTCCAAGGGCATCTAACAGAATTTACCCACTTGACCAACAGCCACCTTTCACCTAATCTAAATGAGCAGCTGGCAGGGGCAGAACAAGGTGAGCGACTAATTCTTCTTCGTCTTAATCTTTGAATCAAATGTACCCATAAGAGCCGGACCATAACATCTTGCCTATGGCACCCTCAGCCCTGCTAATTGAGGCCAGTTGCTTTTGCTGATGCCTGAAAGTAACTTGCTGTCTTTGTGGTGAAGTCCCTTCCTCACCTCTGAGCTGAAACACTACAGACAGCAATATTCTGAAGGCATGGAAAGGGGGAAGGAGCCGATGCAGTTCCATGAGCCACCTCTCATCACAGTCACTGCTTCTGTTTGTTACAGATTCACAGCATCCGCCTCAACCCCCCACCCAGCTACGGCCACAGCAGTGGTAACCTGACCAGCTCTGACATTTCTGTCCCTGCCCTACATTATGCAATTCAACAATTGTGCAATTAACTCGATAGCTACCTGGGGAACCTGCTCGGAGCTCCTGAGCTTTGATCTGTGCTTTGGGGTTTGTTAGGTAGCTTGACTCATGAGCACCGAAGTGAAAAATCTGGATACATTTCAAGAAAGTACTTGCTAAACAAAAGCTGCACATTCAGGAACATTCACGTGGGATTTGAAACAGGATCTCAGAAAGGAAAAAGTGACTGACAATTTTAGATACCTGTGATATTGATAATGTTGATCTAAAGACAGTCAGAGACAACAAAAATCACCCACTTGCCTTACTATTCTTCATTGCATCTTGCATCTGTATCCTCCTGAGGGTCTGTCTGAATAGACAGATGGGTATGAGCTACCAACAAACTATTCTGGTCCACCAACAGCCCTGGCTTGTCCACACAGCTCTCCAGCACACCCCCCGAGCTCACATGAGGGCTGCAGAGCCCCGTCCTTACCTTCTCCTGGTACTGACGCCGTGAGGAATCCAGAGACTGGATCAGGGCTGTGGCATGGCCGATGAACATGGCATAGCAGGTGGCCCCAACAATCATGCTCAGCATAGTGAGCCACACGTCTGACATGCCAACGGGCGCCTGCTGCCCGTAGCCAATGCAGAGCATGTGGCTCATGGCCTTGAACAGTGCATAGGAATACTGCTTCCCCCAGGAGTCATTCTGGAGAGACAGACAGACAGACAGAGCTTTAGCAGTGGGACAGGACATTCTCAGAGATGAACACATTTCAGAAAAGCATATCTGACATCAGACCCAAAAATTCACGGTTACACCTCTTTATGTGAAATGGGGAATTTCATTCTTTGATGGCTTGGAAGTGCTGGGCACAGTCGATTTACAACACACACAAAAGCCCAAACTCAGTCACCTGATGTTAGCTGTCTTTGGCTGGGGTTGTTACAGATTCCACATACTCTTTCCAGAAAGGAAGCCAGAGAGTGGGATGCACTGGTAACATGGGATAAACCAAGACTGGGATACTTTCAGAGTGACCCACGCGTGGGAGAAGGAAGTGAAGCAAATGATTACTTCATTGGGAAACGGACTTTAACAGACAACTGGTGAAAGAGTCTGAGCAAGGCTGAAAGCAGCAAGAGCTTAGAATGGGGAAAATCACTCCCCAGCAATTTAGGAAATGGTCAGGATCCCCAGTCATCACCTGGAGAGAAGGGAAGGGCAGAAAACCAAGATGATAATGTTCAGACAGCAAGTTCCTCTCAGTGTAAAACAGGGCTTCATTCAGGGAGCTGAGAAAACCACAAACTGCCCCATTTGCGGGATGCAACAAACCACTGTGAGAAGCCAGCTGTCATCAATGGCTTCTTTTGGACACCCTGTGGTCTCTCACTGCAACCAGCACAAGGAGCACTTCAGCAGTTACATCATGGGTTAGGGAGCAAAACCAGCAGACATTTCCTGATTATTCCGATTAGCTTGAGTTCATGGGACAGCTCCAGGCACATTTACTGTCCAGTGGGTATTATACGCTAGTGAGTCCTTGCCACAAACCTTGTAAAGTAAATGTGCTGTCATCACACATTGCTGTTACGAGGTGTGTGAAAAGCAGCAGGCTCAGCACCAGTGACCAGCGATGCTGGGGGCCCTGGAGTTTACTGGACACCTCCTTGGAAGTATCTAATCATCATCAAGGGGACGGCTGGTGACCTCTCTGCAAACAGCTCTCCGAGTGTCACTAACGTTGATGGAAATTTTTCAGTAAGCTCACAAGCAGTTGTGATGCTTCTTGCTGTTTGTGAGCTGTGGCGAAGAGCTGGAACCTCTGGAGAGTTTTAATGCTCGGTTAGGAGATAAGCACACGGACAAAGACAGGCCCTATTTGGTTACATTATGCAAGACAGGCCTGATTCACACTGCAACAAGAAGGGCAAACAACAGCAGTGAGAGCGAATAGGACACAGAAGCAGCAGCACATTCACAGCCCCAGAAGAGACTGCTCCTTGCTGGCGCCAGCCTGTCTGGGCTCACCTCCCTGACAAAGTGGGAACCTGTTCACCTCCTGGGCTGGAAAAAAATACCCTGGAGTCAACAGAGAGAGAGCACAGCCCCTTTCCCTCAGCCCTCTGCTCCTAGCAGTCAGAAAAGCTGTGGCCCCTGCACTTCAAGAATGGCAAATGCTGTGAACTCCACGGTTCTAGCCCCTCCACAGTCCATGTTTCAGCAGGGAAGTCATTGTCCCAGGGCCACAGCAGGAGCAGACGCACTTGACCGACCTGTGCTGAAAACGGGGCGTTGCCCGTGAAGGTGGGCAGCACCTTCACAGCTTTACTGAGGCAGAGGCAGCAGTGCAGGTGTCCTGGCCCAGCCCTTCCCACCAAGCTGAAGTTCCAAAGGGAACTTGGGGAGGCAGAATAAGAACAGCTGAGCTGGCATTTGACGTATCAGGAAACTGGCTGCCAGGGTCTTTAATGGCTGTGAATTAGGAAAGCTTAAGATGAACACCTGGGTATCAGGCAGGCTCAGGTTTTGAAAGCCATTTTTCCAGCAACTCGCTGCTCAGGAGTGCTGGTTACAGGGAAACTTGCCAGTATTTTGTAGGAATTAGTCATCCAAAGCTACAACATCCAACATCACCGAGCCCCTGCAGCCTGCAGAAACTCTGCTGCCTCCCTGGGAGCTCTACACTCACAAGTCACAACCCCAGTTCCCATCAGCAGCACGGCTCCCTGCGAGGACAGCCTGCTTTGTGCCAGCCAGAGGAGATTGCTGAGTAATGACAGACTGAGGAGCTGCAGGAAAATGTGGAGGGTTGAAAAAACCCATCCCGAGCACTGTGGGCTGCTGGGAGAAGAGCTCAAGGACTGCTGAAAAACAGGCACTTTCATGAAGGGGAAGCCTTTCAGAGCAATTACCTTCAGGACACCAGCTCTGAGCTCTTTGAGCATCTGCGAGGAACATGGGATCCTCCTGGCACAGTCAGTGTGATGACTCCCTGCTTGTAGGTCTCAGCATATTGCTAGTTTTTAGGCCTGCTCTGCACTCTTCTGTTTTCCACAGAGTAAACAGGCAGGTCAAGAATGCACTACGTTAAGCCATACTAGTAGTAGGGGTTCCAAATGTACTGTGGACACCAGTTTACTCCCAGTGCCTTATACTGCTACAGCTTGTTTCTGTAAGAGCCATACCCTGTACTCAGTACTCTACTATGCCAGTCCCCATGGTGGGAGGGTTGTACTACTTCAAATATACCAGGGTGGCCAAAATGGCCCATCAGGATAGGGCAATGAGGCCTTAAACTGCAGAAAGAAAACAACTCCTCGTTAACCAAATCTCAAAACAAGCTGAAATGGAGCTACAGATCTGTGCTTGAGCATAGTCAAGAGGGATGTTATCTCAGACACCTGCCAGGCACTAAGAGCTTTTGCAAAAGGGAGTTAACATGACTTTGAAGCTGTTTCCCAGCCTAGATTATTTTTGCCATCTACACTGGCAGTACCGTAAGGGTTTCTCTGGGATTAGTGTCTGGGCTGCAATGCCTCTGTTTGGATCCACCTCTGGAGACATGTTCCTGGAGCTCTTCAAAGGCAGTGCTGGGTTCTGCAGTGCCTTACAGAATCACCTAAAGAAACAGTCTGGTGTCCATAGGATGTTCTGGCCCTGATGTACATGTGAGTGTGCGTGGTTGAACCTCACTGGAGAAGACTAGAGAGAGAGAAGACAAGCGCTGGCGAATTCCTGGGTCAGGGCACAGCATTATGCCTGACACACCACTAACGTTTCACAGTATTTAGGAGCTGTCTGTAGCAGAAGGGCCCGTTTCAATCTTGTGAACTCCCCCAGTCGTCTCAGCAGTGAGCTTACCTGGCCACAGAGCCGTTACTCAGGCCTTGCTACTGCACATACCTTAGGTTAAGCTGTGAAATAAGGCCTCTGAACATCACTGCCCTCCCCTGGACCACACTGTAACTGCTGGGCTGGGAAAAAACCCTTCAGATTCAGTCTAAGGGAAAGGAATAGTAGAGTGAGAAATACAGAGGATAGGTCAAACTTCATGTTGGATGGAACCTGCCTGTTCTGGGCTGGCTTCCAAGGAGAGCTTTGCATGGCTTTCACCTAACAGGAGAGACCTTCTCGGGACTCCAGTATCAATTGCCCCAGTCAGCCTTGCCTTTCCAGTCATGTTCCTGGAGCAACAAATGAGCACAGGCCTGGGCACCCAGACCTTGCCTGAGAAAGCTGTGCCCAGCCCTGGGCCCTGAACATATGCTGTGTTTCCAGGCTTGCCCCCAACCTCACCTCTTGCTGCTCCTGACTGGATTCCCTGGGTAGACCCTGGCCATGACGATCACCGTGCCTCCACTGGAATGGTCAGGGGACCCTGTTATTCCCGTTTCTGCCCTGCCCAGTCTGGTTTCTGCACCGCTAGGACTGTGCCCCATCTGGGACAGGGGTCACCCTTGGCTCCTGTCTCTACCCCATCGTGGAGCAGCCCCATCCCTTCCCCAGCAGGGAAGATGACCAGGATTTCCAATGCAAGGTGGCTGCATGTGATGTGGGGCTATCTGCCCTCCCTGCAGGGTTTATGGGTTCTGCCCAACACCCAGGGGAGGGAGCCACGTGCCTGAAGCAGCTTTCAGGTCCCAGCAGAGCTCGCTGAGGAGGAGCTGCCTGGCCAGGGGCTCGGGGAGGTGCTGCTGCCTGCACACGTGCTGCTCGGCAGCTGACTCGGTTTTTAATAAAGGGCCCTGTAGAAAAGCTAATGCTGAAGCCCCTGGGACTGGTGCTGAGCTACTAATACTGAAAACATCTTTCCCTGCCATTTCAGAAAGAAGGCATACAGAGACTCACTCCTTCCACGATTGCTGAAGATGAAACATGGTGCATACAAAAACATCAAGATGAACAGGACCCAGGAATTTATCGAGCCCCTGATATGATTTTGGCACCACCAGACCCTTCACAGATCCCCTGGAAAAGGATCAAACCTTTAGAAAGCAGATGGGAGGTGATGAATCTTCTTTCCCTGCTGCATCAGAACCAGAGCTCTTTTTGTGGACTGCCAAGTGGCTAGGTGGGCAAGTCCAGAGCGGTGGAAGAGCAGCACCTGCACACTCAAGGAGAAAGCCTTCAAAGCATTTGGCCCCTCACTTTCAGCTCCCCTTGCCTGTAGTAGCTTCAGAAGGTTCCTTTTTTTTTTTCCTACAGTGGCTCCAGCCCAGCTTTTTGGCTCCTGTGTGTAATCAGGGCAGTTGTGCACCAAGTGCATTTATCTCAAAGCTGTGACCAGGTCAGTACAGAACATCCCAAAATCCAACCTAAGACTCTCTCTGTCACAAACAAATGCAATCGTGGCCTTCCAGCTCCTAACCCTGTCCATCACAGCTTTCAACCAGAGCCGACTGCCATCAAGATCTTGGCACCGTAGTCCAAGACCAGCCCAGACCCATGGGTTTCTTGTTTCCTGACTCAGTGGCCTCTCCTATTCCTTCACTATAGAGTCTGTGTATTGTTGCACTCATCATGCCATCCATACCCATCACTGGTCCCAGAGAAAGAAACTTAGAGTGAGAATGAACTAGCTGGTTCCAGAAGATCTAATTATTCTCTCTGCTAAACGTTCTAAACCCAAGCTATTTTGCGGCTGGCATATTCCTGTGCCGCTTCTGGAGCAGAAGCCACCTGAGCTATAGGTGGGGCATATAATCACCTCTTGAGTTCTTCATCCCAGTTTCCCAAGGCTCAATTTCTGAGACGGTCACTGATATAATAATTTCTCTTCACTTTCATTAAGTGGAGAAAGTGAAGATGATTTAGCTGCAGAGGAGCAGCGGAAAAAATCACACAAGGCAAGTTTAATTCCCAGCTTCACAGGCTCTCAAGGCTGAGAAGACAAGTACTGCAGCATGAGTCCTTGCCTCTGGACAGACACTTCCTACCCTGCCCCTCCTTGAGACTCTGCTGAGCCCTCCTGCCTGTGGGATGCATCCTTTCCCCCTCTCCTCAGGCTTGCTGCTAAGAAAGGCAACTAGGCTAAATCTTTTCTTCCTCTGTCCTGCCTCCTACCACCTTCCAGAACCCTATTCCTTCATTGCACAGTGGCCTTGATGGTCACCTCTAGGCTCTGATCGTAGCCTGGCCCAGGTAACTCTTTTCCTAGATTTTATATAAATTTAGCTTTGTTTCCCTCCTCATCAGGCTCTGATCCAAACATGTTTGCAGCTCTTTGTTCCACGGGGTTACACAAGCTGTTTTCTGGCTTTACAGCCTCTGAGTGAAAAGCCTTCAAGAGCCAACTGGCATCAGCTTGTGCCATGCGTTTGTGCAACCCACCTGCTGCAACCCCAGGACCCTCAGACTGCTTCAGAAACACCCTGTTACAATACTCCCTCCTCCTCAGAAGTGTCCAGGGAGGGAGAACTCCCAGAGCCTGCTGCCTGACCTGCCTGGGATCACCCAGAACAGAGCTGGGAGCTGAAATCAGGTGTCCCACTTTCAGCCTGTGCCCCAGCACCGCAGCGTTCTTCCTCTCCCCACGCGTGTCTGCCACTGCTGGGCCCTGTCGCCCTCAGACCATGGCCAAACGTTACGATAAAGGAAACACGGTTCAAATCTGCTGTTCTGAAGCTGTCCTGCAAGGGCACCAGGGTCCAGGCACTTCATGGGGTCCTCTGAGCTCTCCAAGCTCAGGAGCTCTATGTCCTTTTGAACCCAAACAGCGCGAGCACAATGGGGTGTCCCCCCTGACCTTTAATTGCTCCTGCCATACAAACAATAAAAAGGCAGCATGGGGGAAGATAAGGCAGCTGCTGCATGGGTCATTCTTCTGTTGTCGATAAATAAAGGGTTCTAGTCTCCAGAACTGTCAGTCTGGCACCTTTCAGCAGCAGGAAGCGAGTGATTATTGCAGAGGGAAGAAATGAATAAACAAACAGCAAACATCTGACTTGTCATGGATGCTCACTTGAGGCAGGCATGGGCAGCGCGTGCCCGCAGCTCCGCATGGGGGAGGCACGGGAAGCTGGCAGCTCCTTTATACATTTTACATTTGTTCTGTTCTGCCCGAGTGCCTGATTATTCTTCTTTTCTTTTCTTTTCTTTTCTTTTTTAAGAAGAAGAAATTGGCTGGGGGAATCTGGAGGTTAAGAGCTGCAATAAGAGGCAATTTTTTAAGCTTTGTCAGTTTTTGCTGCTTAATCAACTGGACATTGTCCCTTTGAATAAAAGCTCCTGAATTCTCAGCAAAACGGTTGCAAGGTACGGTGAAGTCCCCGTGCATTTCCCATCTGGCACAAGCCCCCTGCAGCAAACAGCAGCGAGAACTCCATGGCCTGGGATGTTTCTGGGAAGCCTGGCTACTGATCCCATGACAGGAGGCTGCCCGGAGCCTTGGCACAGGCTGTCTCACTCCACTCTAAAGGGATGTTGTGTAGCTCCCCAGGGAGAAGGAGGGGTCACAACGAGCCTTCGAGTGGATATGGAGCAGAAGGCTTAACAGTTTCCTTGGGATCGGTAATGGGGATGATGGATCAGACCCAGCTATGGCTCTTGGAGCCCCTCTGCATCCTGCCTTTGGCTCAGTGTGCCCAGATCCCACCAGAACGCCCAGATGCCAGCAGAACGCCGGTTCCATTCTTGCTCTTTGCTGTCTCCTGCCAGGAGGGGGAGCCTGGCTCCTGCCTTCCACGGGCTCCGCTGGGGAGGGAGACTGCAGATCTTGCAGAGATTACCCCCGGGGAGCCTCCATGCCCCCAGCGCAAGTTACAAGTCCTGCTGGGCAGCAGAGGAAGGCGCTGGAAGGCACTAAAAGCAGGTGGGGGGAACTGGGGATGCCACGCTGGCGCTGGGAGGTGAGGCTGTGAGCGCGGGGAAGCGAGCTGGGGGGACTCTTACCACCATGCGGTTGAGGGACACCCAACAGTCGTCGGGGAAGTCCTGCAGCATAGGCACGAGGAACTGGAGGCAGCCATCCCAGTGACACAGCAGCAGCATCATCCCAATTAGGTTCACAATCCGCACCACCGCACTGGCCAGGTCGTAGGTCATGTGGAAGATCTGCGAGGGCCAACAGGCAGCAGGTGAGATGGCAGCTCCCCAGACAACCAACCCCACGTAACCAAGTGCAGTGTCAGGGTCAAGAACTTTGCTAAAGTAACGGAAGAGGCTGCATCAGCTCAGCTCAGGTCAGGCACAGTGTGCAAGCAGAACCAGCTGAAAAACAGATTAAAAAACAAAATACAAACTCATGACTGTTCACCCATCCTGCCCTTTCATTTTGCCTTCTAATTTACATTAAAAGCTCCGTAACTCATTTTATAAAATAAGCTGGTTGCAAATATTTCTGAAACATCAGCCACCCCTCAGAAATAAACTCTATCATTACGTCTTTTTAGCTGCAATGCCCTTCTTTGATTCCTGCTCTTGCTGAACACACACTGACCCATGGTGGAAGCTGTCTTTGTACTGGATGTCAGATGCAGTCTCTGCAAGTATCAAATGCAGGAAAGAACGGCCTCAAACTCAGCAGAGACTTCTAGAAGAGGATCTGATTCACCTCTGTTCTTGTAATTCTTCTACTTTGCTGCTACATCACTTCCAGCTTTACGTGAAGGTGGGCAAGGAGAAGAGAAACAGGGTGGAGCTGTAGAGCAGTAAGGCTCAAACACTTAGTCCTGACAGCATACTGGCTTCCACCTAGAGAAGCCTACTTCACAACGCTGGAAACAGAGCCCCCAAACACATCTGGCATCTTCTCCATGTGCTGCCGTGTCTCCATGGCGGTCTGTGACAGAGCTGGGATGGATGGAGGCCTGACAGCCACATCCCAGCCCTGCCAACGTGTCCTGCCCTAGAGCCTCGTCTGGAGAAGAGCTAACTGCTGCTCCCCACACACGGCTGTGCTGTTTCTGGTGGAGGTGTGGTGCAGTGCTGGGACAGCTGTGTGGGGATGAAGCAGAGACACCCAGTGCTGTCAGCTGCCAGAGCTGGGCCTTCTCAGGACGCCTCCCCATGGTTTGAAGGCACATGCAGCCTGGCTGTTCTGCAGCCCAGCCCGCAGGGTGGTGACACAATGTCCTAGCTGGACCCAATGTAAGGGAACAAAAAGCAGAGGGGAGTGAGGAGCAAAGATGACCACTCTGCACCAGCCGAGGCTGCACGTCCCAGGTCTGCTCGTGCATCTCCACCCTGACCTGGAGGATGGTGCCTCCTGCCCCAGGCAGGCTACATCAGCTCAAAGCTTCACACAGAACTTATTTACCCCACTGTGCAGCCCCTCCTGGTCTCTCAGTCCTGGAGCCCCCAGCACCCCTGCCACAGCCCCTCCACTCCTCAGCCTCTCTGCTGTCACCGTAGAGTCCCCCTCCACAGCTCTGCTCCTGTGCTCCAGGCCCGCCTGGTCACACCCTCTGCCTTCTGACCTGCCACCACACCTCTCCTTACAGCACAATTTTGGGTGCAAACCTGACCTCCAAGCGAGCTGTGCAGAGCACAGTGACATCTGCCCAAGGCCACCTTTTCCTTGGGGATGTAGCAGGATTAACTGTCCATTCTTCAGATGTAAAATAAACCTGTGAACACAACTTTCTTCCAGGGCACCAGGCACAGAGACTCTGAACCAGGCCTATATAAACTGGAGCGTGGCCAGAGAAGGGCAATGAGGCTGGGAAAGGGTCTAGAGCCCAAGTGTGGTGAGGAGCAGCTGAGGGACCTGGGGGTGCTGAGCCTGGAGCAAAGGAGGCTAAGGGGAGACATTCTGGCTCTCAGTGTAGGAAGACACTGAGTAGGAAGATGCAACTGATGACCCAGTTGCTTGGGAATCACCTCTGGAGGGACAGGCCACTACTCTGATCCCACAGGGAGTCAGTTCCAGCAGCTAAAACCACAGAAAACTCATTTCAAAAGAAAGGAGTCAGAATCTGTCAGCTTAGGGGCCTGCACTGGCTCAGTGCTCTGCTGTCAAAGCCATCTGCTCAGTTTGAAAGCCTGTTGCCACACTTCCCCACCTGACCAGGACACCACGAGGTCACACGTACTGAGAAATTCCAACATGCTCCATCCAGACCTGGGGGGAGCCACAGAAAAATGCTGGAAACCAGAAGGATGAATTGTTTGGATAACTGCTTCTAAACTCCATTATTTTCACTGCATCCAAGATGCAGCTGGAGCTCACAGTGTCACTTAGTGTGAGAAAGGCCATTCTAGAGATATTTCTGGGCTGAAAAGAAGAAAATATCCAAAATCCAGCATGAAAGACTGCTAGGAAATCCAGCTCTCAATGCTGACTCAATATGAAAGCTGAGCACATAATTGATAAAGAGCAATTCCTACTGGTTTCACTCATCTTTTTTTTTTTCCCCCCTTGCAGAAATGCTCATTTAGATAACCCAAAAGGAATCCAGCCTGCAGGAGTGACAGCCACAGGTTACGCTTCTAATGAAGCCAGAGCAGCAGTTTGCAGTGGAATCTCTGAATGGATCTTTTGTATCGCAGGGTTTTACTGTGCTAATGACTTTTCCTCTCCCACCTAGGTGTGATTTTCAAAGAGCTCCAGCCCTCCTGTAACCCTGACAGATCTGTTTTGTGGCCCTTGATTACCCATGCAGCAGATGCCCTGTGGCTCAGGAATTCCTGTTCCTCTCTGCTGCCCACCAAGTAAGCCTGGATAATGTATGCCAAGTGAAAATGTCTGAACTGCAGACAAATCCAGTTTCAAATGTCAGTCTCAGGAGTTACCAGCTCATGCCCACTCCTTGGAATACATTTGCATTCACACGCAAGTGAAAAATAAGCAGCACTCGCTGTGAGGCCCACAGGAATAACTGTAAAGGGGTGTGAATGAACACCTTTCACTGAGAGGAAGCTCCAGCTCTAAGCAGATGCCTGTGTTGCAGGGAATCCAGCTCCAGTAGTGTGCTGCAGAGTGCCTACGCTGGTGTTGCAGGGCACTTCAAAGCACCTCTTTCCAAAGGGATTCTCCAATGAAGCTAATATCCCTGTTTCTTCATTATCCAAACCAAGCTGTGGCTTCAGAATCCCCAGTATAAAGTCAGCTCTGTCCTAGCCAAAGGACATCCTACAATGCTTTCTGAAACGACTGCTTGGCAAAGTGGGAGGACCAAAACTTTCCTCAACAAAGTCATTTCTAGTTATGCAAGAGCTCCATCTTGGAAATCCTGATTGTAAAGAAGCTATCGGGATCCTATCAGTATGAATCTGAAATCTTGTCAGCCCCAAATACATCTCTACAGTACTCCTTGACTAGCTCTGTACTGCCGCAGGCTTCCTCTAACCCGATCCCTTGAGCTGGAAGAAACCAAGGACACCTTTGAGAAGTGGGGTCCTGGCTCAGGCAGTGAAACGAGGGCTCTGACTGAAGTCAAAGTTGTGTGTTTAATTAGGCATGTTGGTTTATGTTGGCGGGAGCCCATCAAGAGGATGCTGTGGGGTGAGAGCGCCCTGAGGGGACACTGTGGGGAGTGCCATGCAGTGAGGCAGCTTGGCCAGGACACTGCACCAGCCCTGCCAGGCCCAGGCCGGCTCCAGCAAAGCTTCTGCTTCTGTGCTCAGCTCCCCAGCGTGGTGGGCTCTGCGGGCTGGGCTGCAACTGCCCACCCCACTCTATGATTCTCTGATCCCTCCTGGCTGTGCCAGAACTGCTCTGCTCGGAACCAGCGGCTCATGGAGGCGCGGTGACGATCCTGCCTGGAGCCAGCACGGCCGGGCCGGAGCTACGCTCCCCGACAGAGAGAAGCCAACAGCATCCACACTGGCCCTGCTGAGCGCTGGCTCTGCACAGGACCCTCCTCCAGCCACAGGGTTTATCAACAGCTCCTGCCCCACGGGAAAGCACTGAAACTGCCTGTTGCCCTTCACTACCTCTACTAGCACCAGAGTGGCATTTCTGCAGCACTGCATCCAAAGGAAGAAAGCCTGCTGGTCCTGAGCCAGAGCCTCTGCTGAGGAGAGGCTGTACCCACACCGTGCTTAATATACAGCTGTGATAAATCCCCTGTGGATAATCGAGTAGCCGTGACACTGCTCCAGCTTAATAGAAAGCAAAGAATTTACTCTTAATTTATGGCTTAAAAAAACCAGAGACCTTAAAAGGAAATACAAATCTCAAAAGAGAATCAAAACAGTACCGTATGTCATTCTGGGTGCGCTAGGGTCAATGCTGGGATGAAATACGTGTTTACTTACATTTAAGAAGAGTATTTGTGGACTATGGGGAAGAAAGTTGACAAGTCTTTCACGCTTCCTTTCTTCACTTGCCTTTTGTAGATAACAGAGGTAAAGATACATTTTCTTCATAGAGGTATTAGCTGCCTTTTTAAACTTAAGTGTTAATCTCTTGATATACTGGGGATCCATGGTTCCTGAGGAGCTTTTCTGACCCTAAAATACTGTTAGAGGGATTACTGCAGGGTGGTTGTACCAAGTCCCTGCAGCATCAGCTACAGTGTCTCTGTGTATCACCTCTCTGATCACTTACTGGGCCTCAGCCTGTTCTGTATGAAAACTGACTGAACAGCAAACAGCTGAAGCTCTTACTCATCCCAGCCAACAAGCAAAGAGAGACAGGCCATTGAAAAACAAGTGGTTTTGCTCATTTAGGGAACCCTACCACCAAGGGGCAAAATGTCACTGTCCCCGCACAGAGCAAGAGCCTTGACTTGACACAACCCACACAGGAGGGATGGGCTTGGGAGCCCTGGGTATGGCTCCACCGTAGGAGGCTGAAGTGATGGAGGGACAACCAACCAACCCCCACAACTCTCAGGATGGGCTTCCCCCTGGGAGGAAAACTCTTATTTATTCTCCCAGTGATGGCACATTTAAGCTGTGCCAAAACAAAAGAATTTTACTCCAAAAAGTTTGCTGGCCTGAGTAAGTTCCCAGGCCACACATTTGGTTCTTTAGGAAGAACGGACAAAATACTGGGTTTGCCACTAAAATATACAAAGATATAAACTCTGAATTTCTGAGGAAAGTGTTGCTCGGGCTGGCCTGCTGAAAAGGGGCTTAGTTAAGGAAGAAAAGTTATATGAAGGAAG